CTCCCTTTTATCTCCAAAACTGGCAGAGATAGGTCCATAGTTACTATTGAACTTGAATAGGAAGTCATATACTGGCAATCTTACTGTGACCTTGAAATTGACCTTTGACCTACTTTTCATCATGAACTGAACTTTGCAAATTTTGCTTCCCTTTTATCTCCAAAGTTACACTGCTATTGTAGTTGAATAGAAAGTCAATTTACTGTGACCTTGAAATTGACCTTTGACCTACCTTAACTTAACTTTGATTGTACCATTTTAAGTTATATATTTTTTTTGCGTATTTTGAAAATTCTTGTTGATTGCATTTTTATAGCTTGTCAAGCATAAGACTGGTGGCTGTGTCCCTTATTTTGTGTATATGGGGGTCTATACGAATGCGCTTGCTCCAGCTGGTGGTACAATATTCGGAGGCGGTATCGCCTCTCTGATCCTCTAGTTTCAATGTATTATCTGTTTTTGTTATAATGATGGTAAACCAGTCAAATAGTGCCTGAAAAGTGGTCAGTATAAATAGTTATTTTAACTATTTCAAATTTTCAACATCATCAGATGAAAGGGCAGAGCAGACAAACGTCAAGCGCTCTTTAGGACCAGGAGGTACATAAGTCACCATCGCACCCCATTAACCTTTATTTGGTTCACATCGGAGAATGATTATGAAACTGAATGCTTTACATAATTGGCATTGATGATAAAAGATTTCTCCAGAATTTTGAGTTCAGATAACTTATAGAGTAATCTGCCAAGTAACTTCACATGTGACCCTTTCTATATTCTTTATGGTTTCCCTGTTTTGGTGTAATGATAAATAAGAGTGACAATGGAATAAGTGTGATCTGTGCAATTTTGGTTCCATTTTATCATCAATCGATATCAGAGCATTCAGTTTCTTTCCTGTACATATTTTTAGGAAGTTAAGTAACAACTAATTTGTCTCACTGTGGCTAATCCATGTATGGCGTATAATGGTGATTGTGTTTGTAACGGAGTGGCTTATAGCTTATGTGATGTGTTTACACCAATAACATTCCATATTTAGTTGTCAATTTCTGTGTGATGCAGGGTCATTAAATTGCATGATGATATTTGTGATAATGTCTAACTGACCAGAAGATTACCGTTGAAAGAAAATTCTATCAGACATTTCACCTCTTGGTAACAAAATGGGATGTTTAAATATACAACTTGTGAATTAAAAAGTATAAAGTTGTATAGGTACAAATGAAATATTATGTGCTGCAATGCTTTAGTAGTGTAGTCTTTGTATGGCCTACATATAGGGATGTGTGCTTAGATAGTTATTTATGGTATATAGGTTTATATTATACATTTGTTATTTTTACATAATATAACTATAGAATGTGGTCATGGTTTAGTCATTAAAGCATGGTAAAATAATTGAAAATATGGGGTTCTTAACAAAATCCTTTGTAATTTGAAAGCTGCTTGAAGCACACTTATGCAAGTAAAATGAAGTTTGTCTCTGCAAACAAGAACACTTTTCTTTGAAAGTTAAGAGGTTCTCACCAATTGTGATGAATTTTCATAATTATAGTAAAATCAATGTTATAATAATAGCAGTTTCATTGAATTTTTATAATAATTTTTTTTTTTCATTTTATTCTCCATGCTTGAATTTTGTCTTGTTTGTAATGCTGTGTGATTGTTTCATTCAAAGACACCAGTACATAACATCAACATCAAGTTCTAATTATATAACAACAAGACAGTATTAATATCTCTTATTGTTGTTGTTAACATTGCCTGGGTAATTAATATTTGTTATTGTTATGTACTTCACCTGGTAAACATCAAATTAAATAATTAATCTACCTTTGTGAACCCTTAACTCAGTATTATATAGTACTTTAATTGGGAACAGTTAAACATAATACAGGTGTATGAAGTAAACCACATAATACCAACTGATAGAAGAGAGACATTCTCAATATATTACTTTATGAATTTGCTGTGGACATGTCATACTAATTTGACTACTTGATTTTGCATTACTGCTGCATATTGATGTTCAAAAACAGCATTGACATCACCATATTTGAAATATTCTGTTCCAAATTCCATTAATTAATGTAAAGGTCTCTTGCAGTTGATTTTAAATTCACAAGTCTTAAGTACTATATATTTTACATTGTAATAACTTAAAAACTTTGGCCTTTAAAAAAATTATGGTTGCAGCTAGAGGCTTTTTTCTACTTGTTGTTATTTGGAATTTGTTATTTCCTTCAGTAGCATGTACCCAACAGTTCAATCGTGTTTTTATCATTTCAGCTGAGGCAGGATACGATGGCATGTACGATGATGATGACGAAGGTGTCATGGCTGTCCCAGGGCAGAGGCGAGGCAGCGAACGCGGGTCACACTCCAGCAAGAAAAATAAATCCACAAAAGACAAGAAAAATAACTGTAAACAACAGTGATCATGGTGATTGTAACTATGAGCACAGTTGCCATGACAACAGCAAAGAAACTGGGTTGGCAGAACTAACATATGGTTAACTTGCTTGAACAAAAGGCAACTTGAATGACCCTGTGATATCACATGAAGCTAACACCCATGAATCCATAGCAACAATTTATTTAAATTTACCTGGATGGTAACAAAACAACATCTGCATTTGTCTGAATGGTAACCTAGTAACAACTGAATTTGTCAGGGTTGTAACCTAGCAACATGTGAATTTACCTAAATGGTAACCTAGCAACAATTGAGCCTGCAGTGGAAATCTCATTCATTTATTAAAAGGCCAAATAGATGTTGTAGAGTTACACAGATTACATAATATGTGGTTCAAAGCATCAAACTAGCAAAGAGGGGTTTTCCAGTGTCTTTTTTTCACTTTTATGATTTTTATATGTGCAAATATGATAATCGTGTCTTGCTGCTCTTGCATGATGCACACACTATCTGGTCACAAATTTTTTGTTTCAGTGTTTTTAGGTCACATTTTTATATTATAGCTCACAGCTATGCCACTTGCATTTTCTTTAAATGCACAAATATCTGTACTATACTTTGTTAGCCTCTCCATTCAATAAAGATTTATTTTAGCAGGGTTTCAATATTGCAATATATGTATGTTGGTATTCTTAAAAGTAGCTAGCAAAACAATCTCACAGTATATATATAATGGAGTTTATGATGTAAGAAGTTTTTAAGTGAAAAAAGAGAAAAACTTTAAATGAGATTATTTGGAAGTACATGCTTCCCTTAGATGACCATAACTTTTGACTTCTTTATTGGTGTTCAGTAGAAATGTGACAATGACTAAGTGTTTAATTAATTCCACATATACTGGTTTCAACCTTTAAATAAGAATAACAGTGGGCTAGATGGTAACTGCCATGTATTTGTATGGTAACAAGATAACTGTGGTAATAAGAAAACTATCACAATTTCAGCACCATTATGGTAATTGGTTTAAAATATTTATCAATAGGCAAGAAAGTTGAGGAAGGCAAATTGTACAGTTGAGAGGTAATCAGAAATATCAAGGAAAGTATTATGGTGGTTGTTTATTTCGGCAACCACAAGGGGTAATATAAGAAATGAGGTTTGTAGACTGGATAAGTTATGATAGTTGAGTGAACAAGACGACTCTTGCTATACAAATATTGAAGCACCTTGAGAACATCAGCAGTTTACAGTGTTATTTATAAATCTGTCAGGAAAGATAGTGTTTCATCAATCTAAGTGTATTTGATTTACACTGCAAGTCAATCCTAAGTGATTTTTGCCATGGAGTAGTAAAGACTGTTGAACGGTTAAATTATTTAAAATCAGGTAGTAATAGTAATATATTCCTTTTTTTCTTTTCATAAGCATTATCAAATGTATATATATACTTCAGAAAGGGGTTATTCATATCAGAGTAGTCTTTATATTATAGAAATGATGTGAAGTATATTGAAATAATTTTTTTTTACAATAGAAATAGCATCTAGGCAGTCGAGATGCTTCTCAAGTTTAGAAATTGCTTGGCGCCTGCCTTTATAAAAGTGTATATGATGCCTAATAGTGTTTCGTAAAGATTGCCGTTTCTTACCTCTTTCATTTCACATCAATTTTTTTTTATTTTTAGTTTATAAAATAAATTATCAGCTCAGCTTTAACCCAAGCCTTAATGAAAGGTTTAAACCAGTCTCATTCCTTTTATTACAAGCATTTTGTTAATGGTTTGTATAATTGTAGAAGTTTTAAATTCTCAGCTTTAGTTGGAAAGGAAGTAGTCAAATACGAAATATTTGACTTGGGAACCTCTCTAAGTCGATTTCTTTTCAAGGTAATGTTCTGTTGGGGAGGTGGGATATGTTTTTGTGAACTGAATAATTTACTTTATAATTTAGTCAGTATGGTTGGAACAAATTTGAAATTTATCAACTAGGTTATACTGTGTAGTGTTTCCTCCTTTTAGTTCGAAACATGATGTAAGTCACAGATGTTATTCAAAACAAGTTTTATTTGCATCAGAATAATGCAGCACTGTTAACATAACAGATGGAATGGGGTTCTTTTATATTCTTTATTTTCTACAGGAGAGAAAAATAAATTATTAATTTTTAGAACCACCGTCTTCATGCGTTTTACGATGAGAGAGACACACCCACTTTCTTTTGCTCTGGGTGTTATCTTTACTTCAACATCAAACAGCACAGGTACAGGACTGGTACAATCGAGTCCACTAGCTCACTTCACACTTAAAATATATATTTTTAATAATCTTGAAGAAGAGGGTATGGGTGAAGGTTGTCCAAGCATTAGTAGAAATTCTTGGTTTTCTTCCTACTGGCAGAGCCCTGCTGGATTCAATCCACATCCAATAAATCGGTGATTTCAGTCTGTGCATGCCTGTGACAGAATCAACGTGACCTAACTCCAGGTAAAGGTCAGTGTCACCTTATTCTAAATGTAGGCTACTATGACCTATTTTCCAGTCAGATTTGCTGTTCTGGGTCTGTCAAATAGCACATGCTCATTTCATCTTTCCCTATTAACACCATGGCTCTGCCCTCCAGGTGCCACCTCAGTACATTGACTTGGAATGTTGCTGGAAATTAAAAAAAAAAAAAAAAAGACTTTTACAAAAACACATGAGTGTCAGTTTAAAAAGTCTCTTAAGGACTCGCGTATGTCAGATTAGGACTAAAATCATAAAAATCATAAATATAATTTTCAACCAATGATTTATTGTAATAAATGTCATATATATATATATATATAATGACTCTCCCATTTAGTACAGGCAAAAATATAAAAAATTTAACCTGTGTGCAAAGATTTAACCTAAAATGAATTTTCAAAAAAGCAATTCTGTTGAGAAGTGTGTGTGTGTGTGTGTGTGTGTGTGTGTGTAAAGACCTACCTTCAGTTGGTACTGGTACAGACAGACAGCCTGCAGGAGACCACATATAAATACTGTTGTTACCAGTGGCTAGGCTGGTATATATACATACCTTCAGTTGGTACTGGTACAGACAGACATCCTGCAGGAGACCACATATAAATACTGTTGTTACCAGTGGCTAGGCTGGTATATATACATACCTTCAGTTGGTACTGGTACAGACAGACATCCTGCAGGAGACCACATATAAATACTGTTGTTACCAGTGGCTAGACTGGTATATATACATACCTTCAGTTGGTACTGGTACAGACAGACAGCCTGCAGGAGACCACATATAAATACTGTTGTTACCAGTGGCTAGGCTGGTATATATACATACCTTCAGCTGGTACTGGTACAGACAGACATCCTGCAGGAGACCACATATAAATACTGTTGTTACCAGTGGCTAGGCTGGTATATATACATACCTTCAGTTGGTACTGGTACAGACAGACAGCCTGCAGGAGACCACATATAAATACTGTTGTTACCAGTGGCTAGGCCTAGTCTTGTGTGCACTGGATCCCATTCTACACCTTGAAAGATGTTTCAAATAATATTTAAATATCAAAATGATATTAAGGACTTATTTATTTGCTTAAGTGACCTGCTCTCACTGATTCACAATTATTTTATTTTATCAGTGAGTGTGAATATAAATACAGAACTTAAATATTCCAAAAATATGTTTTATGATTATTCTATTCATATTTTATTAATTTTCTTCTTTTGCTCAAAATCTGTATATAAATATGGGATGATTCTAATATGCCACCAGAAGATGGAAAAAGTTATCTTCTTAAGAAATTCATCTTACACTTAATTGGTGAGGCATGGATCAACAGGAATGCCAGGCTAAGTGTTTGGATGTCCCAAATCCACAGAGTGTGAGGCATATTGTCTGAAATATATATATACATATGTGAATCATTTATATAAAAAATAGGTAAATTACACATTTTTCTCAAGCCATCATATGTTTTTATGTCTGACAAGCAGAATCAATGCCATATTAATTCATTTTATCATTTTTGCTAACACACTCGTAACTGTGCAAGGAAAATCAACATGGTCAACTTCCTGCACATGGGACCCAGTAAAATGCAAATACAACATGATGAAGCTTGTCAAATTCACATTATTGTGTTGAAGGAAATACCCATGTGTAGAGTATTATGGTCGATGGTGGCAAAGTTCACATCAAAACTATTAGAGCGCATTCTGAACAGTGGACTAACAGACACACACGGATCAAATATGGCGACCTACTAAAAAGCTTGCTGCTTAATTCCCGATAAGACACTGAATAGATTCCCCGCGGGAATTACGCTCCTAGCAGTCAAGTAGGTTGGCCATATTTGATCCGCAGATCTGTTATTCCACTGTTCCACAAATATGGCTGACCCACTTGAATACTTCCCCACAGGATATATATCTATTCAGTGTCTACTAGAGGATTAGATGGCAAGCTTTGTAGCAGGTTGCCATATTTGACTCTCAGACTAGTTGGTCCCCTGTTCTAAATGGGGCATTAAATAATAAGGATAGTTAGCCATGCTGTGCTCAGACCCTGCCTACCATTGATTGTATACAGGTACTTGCTGTTGGCACTGAAGCCCAGCTTTCCCACTCCAATTTTAGGGTTAGCCTTGTTCAGATCTGTCTTAATAGTTGGGATCAGCACTGCTCCTTCCACCAACTCATCTGAAATCAGTGAACAAGTCCTGTCTACAGAGTAAATGAAATTGAAAGTTCTAAAAATATCTTCAAAAAAGTTTCATAAACTTTAATGCCAGTCTGACCAACACGGCTTAACTTTTGACACCGATCATGTAAGAAAAACTTTTCAAAGCAAACTTTGAATAACATGCTTCACTGTCCTTTTGTTATTTATCTATTAATTTATTTCATCATTAATTCATAAATAAAATTATCTTTTCATTTATCTCTCACTGTGTTTAAAATTTTTAACACTTAAAACATCATGCTTCCCCTGCTTCCAGTCAATAACTTTCCTTTGATATTAAGATTCATTATTTATCATTTTCATTAATAAGTACACAATCTATTTGATTATCATTCTTCAAGTAGTAACAACTGTAATACTTACATTTGCTTTGAGTAGAAAACAGAGTTCCTCGGGGGAGTTCTGATTCACCATCTAAGAGCTGGGGTCTTCTCTCCCATTCTTTGTATACTATCTGAGGAAGAGAAAAAATAATATATTTGTGTTGAAAACAACATAATTATCTTTCTTTGTAAAAAAAATTAAAAAATCACTTTTTTTTAAAAATAATATTTTTACTTTCAATGAAAAAGTTACCATAATTATTTTACCACTATGCCAATCATTTTTTGAATTGAAGGAAAAGGTAGTCAGAGCATTTCCCTAGAGATGACCAATTTGTTCATTTTGTGAGATTTTTTTTCAATTTTTAATCATATTATAAAATCATTAACATAAAATTTCAGTTACATGTTAGTGAAACATTCTGAAAATGTAAATTCATTGCTTCACTATCAGGAGATACTGCTTATAAAAAATCTTAGACTTTTCACAATTAACTGGCATTTACACCAGTCAACTGGTCAACACTTCCAGCACTATCATACTGACCACATTAGGATTGTCCAGCTCTGATGGATGGTCAAACTCCGCCACTGCCCTCCATGTGATGTGATTCAAAATGCGCACCTATGGAAAAATTACTCGACAATTATTTTTCATTCAGATGGAAAGTCTTTTCCTTTAATGTGTTCAGGCAATAAATCTGCAATCATTAACCCACTCCACCCCCACCCCACCCAGAAAAATGTTCACAGCACAAATTTCCCCTAATCACAAAGGAAACTGCCATTTAGTGAAAAAGTCAGAAATATGGCATTGGGTGTGGTGGTGGTGGTGGGGGGGGGGGGGGGGGGGGGGGGGGGGGGGGGCAACTAGGCCAATTATATTTTTGGCTCTAATTATTTCAGCTGGCAGAGGGGCAAAAATGGGGGACAGATCAACAAAGATAATTTGGAAGACTCTCGGAAAAATAACTCTGGATCTGCCCTAGTGAATCAGTGTGCTTACCTTCTGGTCATAGCTACCAATGGCTAAGAATTGACTACTTGGAGCCCAGGCAATGTTCTTCACTCCCAGAGCATGCTCATAGGCAGAGTACTCAGACAGACATCTGCCATCCACTGAATACAGCAGGACTTTGTACTGAAAGTGGGGGAAAGTCTTTGAAATTTTAATATGAAAATTGATGTCAAATTTGCATTCACTGCAAGTAACTGCCTCCAGATGAATATGCTAAGATACAGAATGTTTATATGACATAATAAGTTATGTTTTTCATCCATATCATAACTTTTTTTTATCATTTTAAATCACAAATGCTTGTTACAGTAACAGTGCCAAAGCCCTTTGGCAAATAGCTAATTTACATCTTTCATGCTGTTGACTATGGGTGCATTCCCAGAGATTTAGATCGATCCAGAGATTAAGATTTAGATCGACCTAACTCCCTGGGGGTTCACGCTAAATTGCAGTCAGCCGAGCACGCACCATAGTTAATTACCCCCTTACAGCTTTTAGTAAGCAGGACAGACGCTTAAGCAGGCTAAGCTGACAGTAATCTAGTGAGACTCCCCACAGGGATAGATCGATCTAAAATCTATGGGAATGGGGTCTATGTCTCCCCCTTTCATAGCCACTCTCCTAGCCAACAGACAGTATGATAATGATGCGATCTGGTGGATCTTATGGATTCTATTTTTTCAAGTTATAAATTCTTAAAATTAGGACATTCTTATTTAGTGGTGGCAACAAAATTGAGAAGCAGGATACCCTGCATGTATAGACTGTTATTCTATACAAAAAAATCACCAAAAATGTGTCTTCACTGTTCACTGCAGTACAATAATTTCCATTGAAAAACAAACAAACAAGCAAACAAAAAACTTATATCCTATTATATTTTATGGATAAAATCCAGAGAAAATTTCTCAAAAATGTAAAAAAAAAATAATTAAGCTATTTTCAAAATTGCAACATGCTGGGTTTTTTTAAATATGTTATACATTAATTTCAGTTTCCCAAGTATTATTTTTCTACAACAACAGTTTCCCTTCCTAAAAATGATTCTGTTTCTGTATAACAACTCTGATCCCAATCAACCCCTCCTAAACCATGACCCCCCACAGCAGCAGGCAGTATTCCCAAAATGTTGTCTATACTATTGTTTGCAGCATATTCATTATGATCATTTTTACAGATCTATAAAAAAATAATCACTTCTAATAATCTATATAATTGGTAAGATCAAAAAAAAAATTACCAAAGAAACATTAACATTCTTAATTATGAACACCTTTTAAGCAATTTGCAAAATTTTAACATCCTGTCTTAGACATATATAAACAAGTCATAAATTTTCCCTTTAAGAACAATTTCCCTACACACAAATTTTTTATTCACTCATTTCCTGTTACACAACTCTGATACTCATCAGTACTCCAAGTACAAATACATTTCCCTACCAACGAGTCTGGGCAAGCCAGGAAAATTTTCAAAATTATAAAGCGTCCACTTTCAATAGCTCAATGCATCACGCATGACATTTAAATAGCTTGGCATAATAGCCCTCCTCTTAGTCACTCAGTCCTAGTGTCAACAGAGATTTTGGCAAGGTAAACCTTTAAGCGATTACTCGTTAAGAAACAAGAGTTAATGGGGTGTTGGTCTTTCACAATACCAGAGTAACTGAATGGCATTCACTGTGCATACTTATGCTGTATGAAGTATTACATCATTTGACGTCAAAATAATTTTCGTAAGTTAATGTTGGATTACAGACCGTCACCCCATTTCTTTTAAAATCTTATCTTAAAATTGTTGCCCTTTAATGTGATGGACAACTCTATTTGCATGCAATTCGACCTGAATTTTGGCATGATATAGGTGTGAAAAAATTATCTTTAAAAAGATATAACATACTGTTTTAATTAGATTTTCATCTACTAATCATTTACACATGTTAATCCATATATCAATATATAACAAATGACAAGCCCTTTTTTTTAAACCATATTTTCCACATTTTAACTATATTGCAGTTGATTGGTTTAGTTCACCAACCCAAGGTTACAAAGTCAAAGTACATAAAATGAATTTTACAATATCTGTCAAAATTTTATTTTGTTTTATGACAAACTATTTTGAGAAAATCTTCAGTAATAGGTTACCAAGTTTAAATGCTAGTGTGAGTCTGGCTAGAATACAGAGTCTGCCAGACTCCAGACAGTAGTTACATTACAATGTACCTAGTTAGGGTCACGAAGGAAGTCAGTCATTATTTTTCTCAGGATAAATACATAATGGGATATGGCACGCAACATGTGTTCAGCAACCGTATCACAATTTATTCATCACCTATCATCCCATGACATGGCTTATTTTTAGAACAAGTGTAGTGTACAGAAAATAAGGCTAATTTTCGTCAGTAATATTCATAAAACCACCAATGCGATATAGATCAAAATGAAAATCATTGTCAGTGATGGCTATTTGCACAAATACATTGTGTCTTTACATGAAAATTTTTTTAAGGTCCACTTTCTATTTATATCATATTTTCCCCATTAAATTTTCACTACATTTCAAAGAGCAAAATTTCAATTTTAAGTAACTCTGCATGACAAAAAAAAAAAAAAAAATGTGCTCTGTGACATTTAATAAAAACCAATCTCACAGCTTCGCAAACCCTGATACATAAATTTTTAAAATTCAATGCAGCAGACCATTTTGATAAACGGCATAATACTTCGATCAAATTTTGACCAAAAGTGGACCTTTCAGGTCAAAAGGCAGATCCTCTGAATCCCCACCCCCACCCAACACCCTCTGCCTTCAGGTGAGTAGATTAATATATACCAAAAGAAATTTTATATCCAAAATGCTATAAATTATTTTTATTTTTATTGTTATCTATAAATATGTTCTTGTTTTATATTATTCAGTGTTTTATATAATATACTGTTATTATTAAAATCTATATACATAATCGCTATACATTATTCAATACTATCTATTGTATTTTAGTATCTATTATATTATTGCTATATAACATTCAATGCTGTATAGTATATATATATAAAAGGCCTCTGACCTGCAGGCAGTTTTCATACACACAGAGGACCCGTCCATCAGGAGACCACGACACCCCAGCCAGGTCATCTGTACTGGTCTCAAAATGCTGAAATATTCATATTAATATTAATTAACTTGTTATTACTGTTTCTGGCTTATGCTGAAACAAACTGCAAATTACTGAACGGCTGATAAAGTATGGCTACTGGAAAAAGAAATAATGAATATCTTTAAAAAATTACTCAATTGGTTATACCAAAACTATTTCACCATGCGCAAAAGCTACCTTTAGGATATCTAAACAATGCAAATTGTCAAAGTAGTGGATTAAACCATGCACTTTTATGCTTTGTTAACCTTGTGTGTGTGTGTGTGTGTGTGTGTGTGTGTGTGTGTGTGCGCGCGCGTCCATGTCCGTGTCCCCCATAACTTACTTTAACAAGCTGCCAGGTATTACAGGTAAAAATGCTGACATAGTCCTTGCATTCCCTCCTCTCTGCCAGGGCAAGATACTGGTTTACATCATTGAAATCAAGACCTACAAATTGGGAAATAACACAGGTATCTACATCACTCTATCTTCTCCGCCAAAACGTAAACTGGTTGAAATTAATATTTAATATTTATCTCATAAATACAGTGGCAAATAATTCTGATAATCCTGTTCTTCAAGTTTGCCAAATCAAAAAACATACTACATTTCATCCTGTTTAAATCAAGAGAAGCTCACCTTTTTGGCATCCCTTGGGATATTTGATATATGACACTGACTTATTTACAAGTGACCATACCGTAATTCGCAGCTGAAACCAAGAAATACATATTTCAGAACTTATATCAATTTTCAAAAACAAGTAAGAGTAATACATAAACAACACACACACACACACACACACACACACACACACAGCCCTTTGCCAAATATGAAACATTTATGGCTTAATAATTATGACTCAACCTTGTTAGTCTTCTGTCCATAGTCAAACTTTACAAACTTCTGAGTTTGAACTGGCAAATCTAAAGTGTGTATGGTTAACAATTATTGCTAAATAACCTAGTTAGTCAGACAAAGTTTACACAGGTAAAACCATGAAATTGACTTGAGATACTGTCAAACTTACATGGAAGTCTGCAGTGGTCAGTACGTGTCTGCTGTCAGGGCTCCACCTGGCGGCCACCAGACCAGCTGACCCCTCATCTATCTTACATGTCCACTCTGGCTGCTCGAGTGACCAGATCTGGAAACCACAGAAAGGTCAAGGTCATGTTGAAGGTCGCTCTCAGTGGTCAAGGTCAAGTAAACAGGATTATCATTTTTTTCAGTTTTTAAAAGTATAGGCACTTCCAAGTTCTTTGAATATATGCCTTGAATAAAAGTTAAGCTCATCTTTTTGCGTAAAAGTCTATATAAAAAAACTTTACAGACATGAGCTTGTGCTAATTTACAAAAAATTCCTGCACATTTATCATGAAATCAAACACTAAAATCCTGAATAATCTCAGGTACTGTTCTGTGTTGTTTCAATTTCAACAAAAAAATTTTGAGCATCAAAAACGATTTTAAAAAAATGCACCAAAAATTGCACTTTGTATCATACCTGTACCAGTCCTCTCTTGTACATGCCACATAGTATAAACTGGGAGTCTGAGGACCACTGAAGACAGATACAGGATACAGTTGTTACTCATGAATTTCAACCACTTTATTATTACTTGAAAATTTTATTCTTTTAAGATTTATCATGTTTCATTACTTGCGTAAACCCACTCTATCATGAACTAAGATTTTCAGAATTGTCAAATAAAATTTAATTGTGCTAAAGTTACTAGGCAGTTCATTCCAATGGACACATATATTACCATTGCCTTACTTCTTAGAAATAAGTCAATAATTTCTAAGAAGTAAGCAATCAAACAGCTGGGAACAACAAAATATACACTATTATATAATGGATAGAAAGATCAGTAATGTCACTTTGTGTCTCTACTAGTAAATGACAGTTAAATTTACCATGAAAATTACATGCAAAGTGACATAATTACCTCAACATATTGAACTGCATCCAAGCAGGTGTAAAGATTTAAAATCTGTAACGTTTTCACATCTCTCACAATCAGCCTGTACTGGACAGCATTGGCCTGAAGTGGTCAAACTTGGTGTGAGTCATTATCACATTACACATTACAGTGTGTGTGAATGTATTGACTGTTGTTACCGGTAGGTGCGATTGTAATGCACTGTAAATATGATTCCCCCCTCCCCCCCCCCCCCCACCACACACACACACACACACAGTGACAATATTAACCAATGCATAATGTATAACATAAGGTGCCAATGCTCACCAAGGGTTACCCAAGGGCATTGGAGCTTAATATTGTTTTATTTTCGTAGTCATAAATGATAAAAAAAACACATATGACAACATTAATCATAACAAATAACTGTTTGTTATGAAAAATAAATAAAGATAAAAAAAATAAGCACTTTCCTACCAAGTAATTCCCATCGGGTGAAAACTTGCACAGCTGGTTGGACTGTTTGAATATCTCCGAAAAATTCATCTTGAGGGCAGTATCAAACTAATCTGGGCACCTGTAATCAGCCATTTTTGTCACAAAACTCAATGAACTAAAACAACCGGAAGTGCCCTTATTTCAAACGTCGCGCCAAGCATGCGCATGAAAGATCAAATAAGATTTTCCATAATTTCATTATCATGCAGGCTATTTGGATGAGTTTCAGCCATCTAAGACAACAGAATAATATATTTTGATTCCCCTCTTTTGGTTTTTATTTTGTGAATTCAACAGAATTAGAAATTCGATTTCAAATTTCGCTGACTTCATCAAACACATGAAACCGCACCACGCCCATGCCGGTTATATAGGTCAAACGTCATACACCAAAACAAAGTAGATCTCCACTCGTACCAGCCTTAAATTATTGCTTAGAGAGATTTCCGACGACACTTACACGTCACTTTATAAATTTCTTATCCTTTGCTTACATCATTATATACATAAAGAAAATTCTACAAATCAAACGGATGCGTAAAGATTTTTGTCCCGATGTGACGGAACTCCAAAATGACGTCAGTGACATATTTTCATCCAGCGTGGTCGGGAGAGGTAAATTTTACTCTGATTTTGTGTGCTTTCATCATCAGTGTGCAATCGCAATGCAGATGTGTATGTGATGATTACATTTGGACTGTGCGTATGCATTGAAAAGGCAGCGAGATTTTAAAAGTTGTACACTTTTTAGCATGCTTTTGTTGTGTGGAATTCGGACGTGCCCTCACTTGCTCTGTTTACAGTAGTCGCCATGTTAATTTAAGCTTGGTGACTTCTAAGTGCTACTGTCAATGGAGGAAAGTGAATTTGCTATTTATCTTAAAAGTTTATCACGCATATTCAACATAGGGCATCCAGGGGCGTGTTTGACATTGAACAAATCCCAACCCATGATTCATGTTGAGATCGATTTCGTGTATGGCGCGAAAATGGCTGATTTTGACTTAGTTCCACGTCATTCTTAAAAGAAAACGTCAGGGCAACGTTTTGTTTTGGGGATTCCCCTGGACGCTTGGTCACGTGGTCGTCTCATGCGGTCTCCCCGCATGCCAGAGTGAAAATTTCTGGCGAAGAGTGTAGGCGTGTTTGCTGCCGGGGTCCAAACATTTTCACTCTCGAGATTGTTTGTTTCCATGCTATTTTCTAGTTGGACTGTTGTCGAATGGGACACTTTTTCGGAAGTTGTTTCATCCTGGGTGGACTCTTTGTCTTCTAGAGGAACTTAATGCAGTGCTCTTTTTTTGGCTTTCGTTGGATTTTTCACGACGAGTTGCAAATCAGAACTGTAAGTTGGATGGTTTTTAGATTTTCTGAAGGATGTTGCATTGTATGCATGGGGTTAATGTCTGCAATTGTTTTAGTGTGTGAGGGTTTTGCAAAAGTTTAGTCAATAATTTTTTTAATGTTTGAATTTGTAGATCTTAAAATGATGCAAGATTTGATTTCCAGACTTTTCCATTTCCTTTGAAATGTTCACAATGTATTGCATTTAAGATTTTCCAAGTACATCGATGCAATCTCTCCATGCATATCAGAAGTAGAGAGAGTTACTGTCTGCAACTACTGGAAAGCTCTCTCTTTAAAAAGTCAACTGACTTACAGGTGCAAATATATTTTTTCAGGAAAAAAAGGATATTTTGAGGATGAACTCTCAAGGAAATGAAGGGGTGAACCCACCTCTCTCCCAGGAAACATTTGACGGATTGTGGGATCAATTGATGATACAAACAGAGAATGGGTAAGAGATGTGTTTTAAATAAAATCTTAATTACTTTTTTAATGTGCATTTTTGAAATATTCGGATATTAGGTGGATGAGTGCATATTTCTCAGCATAAATATCTTTGTATTTGATTGTATTGAATATTAAAAGCCCCATGTTTTGTTTATTTATTTTATTTATTATTTTTACAGAGCTTACACAAATATTATAAATCAAAACCAGGAGCCCGAGTATCATTATGCTGATGGAGGAGAAAGTGCACAAGTAGAGGTGCAAAGATTTTTAATCGCTCCACAACAAGACAGTATCATGCAGCTGGTAAGTTACATCATATGTTGTATCATGTTTAATAAAGTTAATTAATTAAGAAACAATGTTAAAACAAATAAAAACAAAGTTGCAATATATTTTAATCTCTCTCTGGGTGGGGTGGGGACCACCCAAGTGCAACCCCTTTTTCAACCCCGAGGTTGTTAATTTCATCGGAATTAGGTCAATTAAGATGTACATTTCAGTATTGTGACACATTAAACACAGTAGCCTGGGGACTAATTATGGTAATCAGGTCAGTAGCTATCAACAGGTGCTTACTCATAGTGTATCAATATGTAGTAGATTTACATAGGGACATTATAACCTTATATGGTCCCTGGAGAGATTATTATAGGCTAGGTAGTTGTAATAGAATAGGTAAAATAAATTATCCTATTTACTCTGCTTACTACATAGTAAACTATTTCATTGATTGACAATCTTGGTGATGTGCCAGAAAATATTTATGAATGAACTTGAAAGAGAGATGTCTAAACTCATGATGAAATTCTGTGGAAAATTTGTTCATATATGATGAAATTAGACTAGCAATGCACGTGTTCGTTTGTTTAATAACACTGCGCGTGAACCGTGCAGGTTGGGTGCATTATGCGCATTTTTCGTCATTTCCGCCCGAAAACAACATCAGCTGGGCTCATTAGATAATTGTGCTCTCAATGCCACGTGCAACTGAGGCAAGCCCGGGCATGCTTGCAGTGCCCAACTTCAGGTGACCTCATTCACCACTACGTCTCAGTCTTGCCTGGGCCTGCCTGATTGTGTTATAAAGGCCCAGGCTTATATACCTTGAAATCATAACACACTGTTGGGTGTTAATATTGGTCAATATTGCTGCTGCATATGAACGTTTAGTCAGAACCAGCAGAGTTTTTTTTTTACTTTCTGATTTTTGTCCGAGATTGATTATTTGTTACATCTGACATTGTTTATTTTGATGAGCTTGAGAAGAAGTGGGGTAGCACCCAGAAGGATTTTGCCAAAGGTAGGGAAACATCTGGGGTTTAGATTTTTTTCTCTGTCAGCTGATTTTTTTTTAACTTTTAGAAAATTTAAGGACAGAGTTTGTTATTTCGCATTTGTGATGATTTACTTTTGGTGATAGATTTATAAATAACACTGTACAGCACCATGGCGGGGGGGGGGGGGGGGTTAACTGAACTATCTAAAGGTTTAGGATCAGTGCATGTGAAGTGGAATTCATTTCTAAGTTTAAATTTTAAGGCAGTTGAGAAAAGCTTATATAAGTTTTATGCAATGTAGCACTTTTACACAACAGCTAGTGGGTGTTTGTTGTCATGATTTAATTTTCTCAGAAATTCTAAGAATCTGTCTGTAAAGAAATAGCATATATGTAGATTTCACTGGTATGTGTAAACATATGATTAGTTACTAGTTTAAATTCTCTACAAAGTGTTGATTCCATAGGTCTATAAGAACAAAAATCTATATAGAACTGCTTAAATATTAATGCTTCATCAATAATGTAAAATAACACCTGTAGTGCCCTATCATAATGGACTAATCATAACTTGTTTAGACTGTTTAAGTGGTCTTTACTTATGATACATTGGGTAGAGATGGAAGGGATCGTCTTTATCACTAAAGATAAAAAGAACCTTAGAACTACAGGTGTGATAATACAGGTGACTCAAGTGGTTGTCCCTTGATCAAGGTGTTTATTTTATTTGTTACCTGTAATTTGTCAATACACAATGGGCATTGTGCCAACAAATGTTAAGATTTAAGGAAGGGGTCATTAACTTAAAGAAAGGAGGGAGCATAGAGAACCAACTGTTGAAAAGACTCTAAGAGTAGAAGACAATAGGGTTTGATCTCAGGAAAGGCTTAGAGAATGGAAGAAAAGGGTTGGGAGAGAATGGACGTGTTACACGGGAGGTGGATATTGAAAACAAATATTGGGACCTGACTGGGCATGACTTTGATATTGCAGTGGGGGATTTTTCTGGGCCTCTTAGATAATTTGATAACTATGAGGAGATATGTTTTGATCAAAACTAGTAACTTGTTAAAAAATGGAACAGGTTAGAAAAATTAATTTTAAAAAAATGTGTTTAAGTTAAATAAGTAAAGTAGAATAATATCAATCCTTCTGCAAATAGGAAAGAATGAGAAAAGAGAATTCACAAACTGGCTGCAGTCCAAAGATGAGTTTACATAATGATGTAAATTGTGGTTAAAACAATAATGTAAATGCAGTGATTAAAATCAGTCAGGTCCATACATGTGGTGAGATATGCAGCAAGTTGAGACAGGTAGATGGTTTTTACCTGGGCAGTGAGGTGGACGTGATTAAACTTGGTAGTCTGGGGTAGATCGATGTAAGCTGACTGACCAGCAGCTGTGCACAGCACTGTAGGAATATAGCTTTGAAATTGTGGGCTTGCATGGGCACATGCTGTCATAAATTTTATATCAGACGAACAGTTTCTAAAATTGGGATAAAAAAGATGATTAATTTTTATTTAGAAAAAAAAGATTGAGAGAATTCATGATGACAGTCTAAGCCTCTCTCTCTCTCTCTCTCTCATTTCAATTAATTGTTTGTCAAATTTTATTTTATGATTTTCCTTCCAGCTGAGCAGCATTCCATCAGTGACACAACCAGACGCCATGAGTCCAGACTCCCAGACTACAGCAGTGGACTCCGTGCCCAGTAATATACCCACTACAGTGGAGCTGTCGGGACAGGTGTGTGGATTTTATATACCCCCTTCCCCTTATACCCCTCCCCCCTCACCCTTTTCCCTCCCCACGTGGCATAATCTGAGATTAAAGTCTTCCAGATTTATCTGGAAATCCAGTGTTTGTAAAAGTTACTACAAATTTAGAATTGCAACTTTAAGTGCTTGCATTTTCAGGATTATTTTTTGAGGTCCACTTTTGCCTTTGTATAATTCAGGAAAAGGAGTTTTCTCCTTTTGGCAGATTTCCTTAAATATATAAATATATATTTTTCTAAAAAAAAAAAAAAAAATATATATATATATATATATATATATATATATATATATATATATATATATATATATATATATATTTTTTTTTTTTTTTTTTTTTTTTTTTTAAAAATTTT